TTGGCTATCACTTTTTTATATTATTAAATAAATATATATAATATCATGAGTTACAATCAATTAAAAATAATTAATAATTAAATAACATATAAATTATATAAATATATATTGTTTTACAATTTAAATTATAAAATAAATATATATAATATCATGAGTTACAATAAAATAAAAATAATTAATTATTAAATAACATATAAATTATATAAAAAATTATACATAAAATTGTCTCTTAATTATTTTTCTTTAAATTATTCAATAATAGGACCAATCAAACTTCTTTTTTGGGTTAAAAGTCATGGTTAAACTTTTATTTTGTTTGCTCTGCTTTTATACAAACCCTCAATTTAATCCTGAACTTCAAAAATCAAACTGCCTTTTTGTTGAAAATCACGGTAATCATACGACAGATTTGAGTGTTTCAGGAGCAGACAAAACTAGGCTGTAAACAACAAAAAAAAACCTTCTTGTTTTCGTGTATTTTTTTTTATTAATATTTTGGTATCCGATAATCATATTGAATCTCGATTAATTCAAAATTAAATTGATATTGAAATCTTCATACATTAATTTCACTTTAAAACAATATCTCAAAAAAATTGAATTGAAAAATTAACCTTCTTATGTTGAAATTACAAACCATAAAATTTAAATTTAACTTAAAAGTCTCAGTAAAATTAGGAATCTTACACCCCTGGCAGTCTAGCTACCTAAGATATAATATTATATTTACATACCACCTCAAATACATAACGCCGGTGGTATAGACCATCTCACATCCCAGATGGTCAAATATATGCATCATGCTTTCCTCGACTTTTTCCTTAATTTTTCTGAATTCAAAATAAACCTTTTTGTAAGTTGCAATAAGCTAACACATGGTCCACACACCTCTCTGTCGTATAAACTTTAAACACCTCACCTACACCGCTCCTTTTATATAACTTCCCCAATCATCCCTCTAACCCCACAGAAAGAAATGGGAGGTGGTGATCTGTGCGCTGGTGGTAATTTTTTTCACAGGGTGGCGAAGTCATGGACCAAGGCGGAGCAAACCCTGAATGATGCCGTATCGAAGAGCTTTATCGGGAAGTATTTCAAGCTAGAAGCCCGAAAGAGCTGCTTCACAAAGGAACTCCGAGCTGGCACTGCCACTTTCCTCACCATGGCTTATATCATCTCCGTTAACGCCACCATTATCGGTGACTCTGGTGGCACGTGCTCCATCGCCGACTGTTCCGCTCCGGCCAACCAAACTGCCGCTCCGGACTGCATGTTCAAGCCCAATGAAGGGTACGAGAACTGCCTCTCCAAAACCAAGAGTGATCTCGTTGTGGCCACTGTTTTATCGTCCATGATCGGAAGCATTGCCATGGGAGTTCTGGCAAACCTGCCTTTGAGCCTCGCTCCAGGTATGGGCCCTAATGCCTACTTAGCCTATAACATAGTTGGCTTCCATGGGTCCGGACCCATTTCATATGGAACTGCACAAGCAGTGGTCTTAATCGAGGGTTGTGCGTTTCTTTTTCTATCTGTGTGCGGGCTCCGGTCAAAGCTAGCTAAGGTCATACCACACCCAGTCCGACTCGCTTGTGCGGCAGGGATTGGCCTGTTCATTGCATTTGTAGGCTTGCAGGTTCACCAAGGATTGGGTCTTATTGGACCTGACGCATCTACATTAGTGACGCTAACCGCTTGTGTCAAAACCGATCCCGCTACGGGTAAGTGCATTAATGGCAAAATGCAGAGCCCAACATTTTGGTTGGGTTTCTCGGGCTTTGTGATCACTGGTTATGGGTTGATGAAAGACGTGAAGGGTAGCATGATATACGGTCTTTTGTTTGTAACCTTAATTTCATGGATTAGAGGCACTCCCGTCACAAATTTCCCTTACACCGCAGTTGGGGACTCTAACTACAACTATTTCAAAAAAGTTGTAGACTTTCACAAAATCCAATCCACGGCTGGTGCTATTAGCTTTAGTAATTTCAATAGAAATGAGGTTTGGGTAGTTCTAGTAACATTGTTATATGTCGATGTGCTCGCCAGTACTGGGATAATATACACCTTGGCTGAACTAGGAGGATTTGTGAATGACAAGGGGGCATTTGAAGGAGAATACCTAGCATACATTGTTGATGCAGGTTCAACAATGGTCGGGTCGGCGTTAGGAGTTTCCCCATCTGCGGCATACATAGAATCTTCAGCGGGAATGAGAGAAGGTGGTCGGACAGGACTAACTGCTGTGGTTGTTGGTATGTATTTCTTTATATCACTGTTTTTTACACCATTGCTGACGAGTGTGCCACCATGGGCAATTGGTCCTTCACTTGTAATGGTAGGGGTGATGATGATGAAAGCCGTAAAGGATATCAATTGGTCAGATATAAAGGCGGCCGCGGCTGCTTTTGTGACCATGCTGCTGATGCCTCTGACTTACTCCATAGCAAATGGGATTATTGGTGGGATCGGGATTTATGTTGCGCTTAGCTTGTATGATTGGACCGTTGGCTTGATAAGACGGGTGAACAAGATGGGGAAAACGGTGGTTGAAGAACAAAATCAAGTTTCGGCTACAGTAGCAGTTGAGATTATTTGAATCAATGTAAAAAACTAGTTAATGTTGTATTAAAGCTTGTTAGTGAGGGCTGAAAGTTGAAATAGACACAGGCTTTGTTGGATAATATCGTGTTGTACTGATTTGGTTTTTTGTTTTTTTTTTTGGGTCTTTACTACCTTAGAAATATATAAAATATTAATTAAAATTAAGAAAAATATTTATAGTCTAGTTGTAAAAAAATTAAGCAGAAAAACATATGAAATTTATCTTATTTTAATAAAATGTTATTAAAAAAAAAAAGCTTAAACGTTTTAGTTTTCAAAGTGAAAATAAGATTATTTTAGTCTTTCCTCAAAGTGTTTTGATTTTTTTGGTAGAACTCAATGTTTTATTTGAAACCACATTATTTTGAATTTTTTTTTGCTTAATTTGTTTATAATTTGACTAATAAATATTAATATCTAAATTAATAAAAGTATTTTAAAAAATAAATTAAAAATAATTAAAAATTATAAATTTAGCACATCTTTAAATATAGTGTTGTCAGTTGGGTGAAAAAGGTATGTAAGAAGTTAAAGAAAGCCAAAGTTTGTTAATCAATTTAATCCTGTTATTCTTTTTTCTTTTTCTTTTTTCTTTTTTTTAATTTTCCCTTTTTTCTTATCTATTAATTTTGTCTTTGTCAATTTGTAATTCATAGTTTAATAACAAGTCTAACTCTTAAGATAATTTCAAAGTATGCATAAGTTGAGATGGATACACCTTAAAAGTATGTTTAGTATATAGTTTCTCGGAAAAAAAGAATTTAGAAACCTATACAAAAATGAATTTTTTTGTGAAAAAATAAATTTTTTTTTCGTGAAAAAATAAATTTTTTTTCATAAAAATGAGTTACTACAAATTTAAGTAGGGGTAAAATAGATCTCCTAAAGTTATCGTCTCCAATCCCACCTAAATTTGTTGATCTAAGTAATTTCATCTAATTATAACTAAAATATTAACAATAGAAATAAAAGAGTACATTTCCTAATTAGCCACCAAAACGCCTCATCCAAGCAAATTCCTAATTAAAACAAAATACCATACCATAATATTTCATAATTAATGCCCACAATCTCCTCTTTCCACCTACCCAGAAGATTGCATTCCTTCAAATATTGGCTTGGGGAAATTACAAATAACCCACTTGAGGTCTAAAATAAGTGCATTTAAAGGCCTATGATATCAAAATGTGCACTTAAAAACTTATGTTTTAAATTATAAGTACTAAGCTACTGCTACCATCCAAATGATATTAACGTTAAATTTGTAAAGGGAATATTTTTTTCTTTTGTGCTTAGACCATGTTTATTGCTTTATGAATACTTTTGATATTAGAGAATTGGAATTAGGGACTTTCTAATGTTGATTTAATCTCCTGAAATGTACCTAGATGTAACTACATGGATGCCTTACTTTAATTCAAATTTTAATATATTAGTTTGTTTTAAATGCAATTTGTTACAGAATATTTGTAAGTTTGATTTTTTTTTTTGTGCACTTACAGGCTTGAAATGAAGTGTTTTAAAATTGAAAATGTGGTTCTGGTATAGATATATTTTGTAATGTTGGGCAAGATGATAGTGTTAAGCGGGAAAGGTATTAGAGGAATTAAGATAAAAATTGAAGTTTCTCATTGGATTTTTAATGGTAAGAGTGTCTTACTACTCTTAGTTCAAAACACGTCTTTTTTTCTTCTTTTTTTTTTTCATTTTTTGAAAATAGGCAAAACACATTTAAGTATACATTTTGATACCATAAGCTTTACAATGCACTCATCTTAAATCATAAGTAGGTTAAGTGTATTTTCCCCTATTTGCTTTAATATTGGATGGCTTAGCTTATAATATTAAATTTCTTAGCGTATAAATCTAGGCACAATAGAATATATTATAAAAAGAAAATAATTTATTATATTGTCACCTTCTAAAAAGGCTTTTTTCGAGACTTTTTATAAGGAAAGTAATATAATCAATTATATAAAAAAAAAACAATTAATGAGATTAGTACGAATGAGTCCTGACTCTAAAAAAATTGAATTCTAACTTACATTTGGAAACTAAAATCTTAATTCAAAATTTAGAAATTTATTTTATTAAATGTTGATATCTACATTTGAAAACCAATTATATATTTTAATATAATTAGTTTTCAAGTTTAAATATCAATATTTAATATGATAAATTTTTAAATTTTAAATTAAGTTTTAATTAAATAAAATGATGTAATTTAAAGATGTAATTTAAAATTGAAACTCTAATTTATTTTAAAAATC